ATGTTCTTTAAAGATATAAACATTTTCTTGTGATTATAATGAATATAATAATTAAAATCCAATATTACAACAATCCTAAACTGCATTCAATCAGAGATTATTTTACAAGTAGGTATGCTCAATGCAGAATTTCCTTTTAAATTGTCTGTGAACTATCTATCCCTTTCAAATCTAACGATTTCTACCCACTGCCGAACCAACGATATAAGTCAGTGGTTTTTTGTCTATTCTCCTGCCTTTAATTGCTCAAAGGGCTGACTCGATATGCTAGTGGTCGCGATGGAAACCTTTTGTTGTAATTTGGCCAAGACATGCGGCCAGTTGGATGAGCTGGAGCGGAAGTGGGTTGACTGGTGCGTGCCCATATTCATTGACGTTGACCCAAACTAAAAACCCCAAAAAACGCAAAAACACAAACAATCAGTTACGATCCAGCCGCACGCCATGGCCAAAAATTAGAGAGTGGCGGAGTGGTTTGTGCGGCATCATGTCAAAATCCAAAACCACAAACAATTAAACAAAATTGCAAATTAGACGTTATTTAGACCAGAAATACCGCCCGAAAAGTTGACAGCCACCGCAGAACTCAACCGAACCGACCTACTGTGTGTGTGCTGCACACTGAAACGTGGAAAGGAAGGAAGTGTAGGAAATTGCCTATTTGCAATTGTAATTTATTCATTTTGCTTAATATGCCGTGAAGCGCAAGGCTTTCACTGCTGAACACTGCCCCCCCAACAAACAAAACAATAATTTTCTCATATTTTTTTGTGTCGTGTTTCCAGCAGACTTGCCCCGTCCGCCCACTTTTTTGAGGGTCACTGGCTGCTTGTCAATTGCAATGGTTTGACTAATGACTCGGCGCCAAGGTCATGGAGAACCCATTGTTGTCGATTTCAATTAGGAGCTGCGCCTAATTTGCATAATTATCATAAAGTTTGACAAGGGATAACGAGCCAGTCGAGTGGGAAATTGTTGTAGGCCAACTAGGATTTTATCTGATGGATGGATGCCGTACTCCTCGAGCATTCAAATTAGGTCTTGATTTGTCCCAAAACGAGCCCTTCATGGACTCACCAAGTTTTTGCACTGATAGAATGTGATTGCTTAAAGTGATTGAGTTCTGAGAAAGTAAGACCAAGTATAAACCCTTGAGAATGTTTGTAAAAAACAAAACGTACTAAAAAAATAATATGTAAAATAAAGCTTATAACCATTTAAAAATGAATTGAAATTAAATAATCGTGATTATCATTTAAGCAATAACTATATCATTTTAAGTAAATCTATATTAGGGTTGGTTAAACAACCAATGCAGGTGGGAAACGTTACAATTTATTATCTATTTATTGTTTATTTAAACTTGTTTACTTAAACTTTTAGTACTTCTCTATTTTGTGCAATTTAAAACGTTTTCAAATGCTTCAATATCGGTGCTTTGAATTTGAGCTAGGACCCATTTTCTACCCATATTTTATTATTTATCATCGAGAAAATCTTGTTTCAAGCGATTACGAGGCCTATATATATCAAAGCAAAGAGGCCAATGTGGTCTATGCACTTTTTGTTCTGCCTTTTAAGTCCTTGCCGCACTTTCAATCCCCTTTTGACTTAATCCTTAAGCTGTTACTCTCCATTTGCGCAAGATCTTTGATTATTGAGCCACTGTCATCCAACCCGAGGTTCCTTTCAGCAGGATACTTTGGCAAATGGACTGCAGAATCGGCTTGTTGCTGGTCGATGGAGCTATTTAGACAGATTTTCCTGGCCCGCTCACCTGGATCTCCCTCAGAAATGGGCCATAGATTGCAGTTTAATGTCACAACATTCAAACAAATCGCCGGCCATTTAAAACGGTTTAAAAGCCATTGCTGCAGCCCGTAACAGCCGGTGTCGGTGTCCTGACTTTTCCAGCAGATACAACAGACAACCGCTGGGCCGAATGGGTTTTCCCCATCGCAGAGTTTTCCTTTTCCGGGGACGGCAATAAATGAGCGCCCATTTGCTTATGGATATTTGGGGTATGGGGCTATAGAGCCTGGGAAATTGTTTTGGCTGTCGAATTACGTAAACATTGTCATAAATGAAAAATTTAGCAGTCGTAGCCGAGTCAAGCATTTCATTTGCTGTGGCAAATTTGTCAATCACGTCGACCGTTTTTTGCCATCTCGACTTTGGCCCAATTCTCGTTTTCGGCCCAGACGCCGCAGGGACTCGTATGAGCCACTCTCTTTGTTGGTGAGCCAACTTTGTTTTGTTTTCGGCCTCGCGGTGCTTTCTTCTCTCGTGATGGAAGTCGCAAGATGGAAGACTTTCTCCGTCTGCGGCAGGCGCGACATATTAATTATTCATTTCGATTTTGGTTGGTTGGCCAAAGCAGCAGCGGGATACCCGAATAATAAAACACAAAAAAAAAAAATAAAACAGCGAGGCTCTTGGGCTGCTTTGTGATTTATAAACACGCGCGTCGCTTTGGGTGATTTACTGCAAATTGCTTTATAATGTTATATACATTTTGTAGACGATTCGGCTGCTTTTCGGTGGCTTGCCTGCTTGCGAGTAATTATAAGGGGAAACGGAAAGAAAAATGAGCCACGATTTGGTGGAATTTGTAATCCAACGGTTTAGGCTCACGACCCATTGGCTTAGACTTAAGGTTGTTAACAATCCAAAGATCAAAATATTATAAGTCTTTGGTGTACAATTGCAGATTACCATATTTTAACACTTATTGTACTTCGAATTGTTATAATTGTATGTTAATTGTGGCAAATAAATAAAATAAACTTACTAAGATTCTAATCTACAATTTATTTAAATAAAACTTAACTGATTTGAACATTTAGTAAAACCAATTTAATTAAAAAATATAAATTTTAAATATAGTTTAAAAAGTGTATTTTATTTGAAATGCTACACTGAAAAAATAGATTAGTTAAAATAAATATCTAACTGCTTAATTATAAAATTTTATATTTTATATTTACACTCAATTAAATTGGCAATAACTCTTAAAAGATTTATTTCATTTGTATGGCCATGCATGACCTTTTTAAATAACCAAAAAGGCAGTTCATCTTAATCAATTATTTAAAAACCATTTCTGTTCATTTGCATTAGTAATTTTAAAGCAGAGCTCTGCGTACCCGCAAAAAAATTTTAATGATAATGGAAACGGAAGGAGAAAGAATACTTTCACGAGATACGTAAAAGTAAAAGCAAGTCTTTGTACGATTCAATTTGCATTACGCATCTGTGAATGTAGTCCTGCTAACGTGTATCTGTGTGAATATGTGTATTTATGTAAATTTTGGCAGCTCGCTGTTTTCTTTTTGGTTGGCCAGCGCTTTTTGTTGTATACATTTTTCGTAGCTGAAAATTAGAATTGTTCCACTGCGTTCAACTTCACTGACAGTGCGTGGCAAATTGCTTTCCAAAGTCTGAAGTCTGGCATGTCTGTAGAATAGCGCGAACACACACGTTGCTGCACAGAAAGAAATGTTGAATAATTCTATACATTTTTAAAAGTGTACATGATGAAAAAGTTGTCATTATCTGGGCTCTTACAGTGTAAAATACTAAACATTAATTGTTGTCATTATCATTTAAGTGGCAACATGACCTTACATTTTTCTCCGTGCATAACCAATAGCTAACAATAATGGCAAAAATGTGTTTTTTTTTTTTTTGCTTTTTTTGCCTTCTTTCCGTTTCCTAACAATAAGTGCGGCGTGGGGGGAAATTAGGAAGCGGGTGGGATGATATAGGACCCTATATGGCTTTTCGTTGTAGCAGTCTAGCACATAATATCCATGCAGTAGAATTATGAAGCTCTACTTTACCCTCGTTTCGAATAATGGTAACGAGTGCCGGAAAAATTTTTATCTAGATAAATGCGCAAAAATCGGAATTCCCCTTGCATAATGCGGCGTGTGCACACGGCGTATGCGTAATAAATGTGCCTGATACTGCTATTATTATGACTTTAATGCCCACGAATCGATCATCCCCAATGGCAGGCAATAATTATAGTGTGTTTGGATCGTAATAGTAGTAATAGTAGTATATAGTAACTCTAATCCATTTCCAACTTAAATAAAGCAATCTAAGCAGAGCGGGACACAACTGAGCTGCCTGGCAGACGGGCAATTAAGTTAATTACTGTTTAAACTTTCCAGCACTGCCTGTCGGCTGTCTGGGGGAGCAGAAAAAAAGGAAAAAATTATATTTAGCAAATTAAATTCCCAAGTTGCTGCCAGAGATTGAGCACGTGGCCTGGCCGAAATTTTAAGTAGGCGAAAAATGAAAAGCAAAATGTACCTCTGACTGCAAGAATGGTGGGAGGAATGGTCAATGCTTTGGGATAAAACGGAGATGGCTGTCTCAAAAAGTGCATTTTGCTTGGAATGGCTTTAAAACAAGCTTAATATAAAAGTGATTTACGAAATATACGAACTTCAAAAATTTAAATTCGAAAAGCCACGATATAACAATTTTTGTTTTTTTTATATATTAAACTTATTTAAGATTTTACCTACAAAACATTATTATGAAATAAGTTTCTTATCAAAACAATATGTATTTACTTTTAAACTTACAAACCTTAAGTGTAGTTTAATCATGTAAACCTCCTTAATTCTGGTCCAAATAGTTGATAGTAAAGCTAATTATTCAATAAACGCCAGTTTTGACTTTAAATTTATGTTTTACCCCACTGTACTCCCTCTACACAGCCATCATTATGCAGGCGGCATGCTCCATTATCATTTTGCTCATTTCCGCTGTCGTTTTTGATTTTGTTGCAGTGGCAAGTCAGGAGCAGAAGAAGCTGCTCAAGAGTCTACCAATGAGTGCATTTGAGTTTTGGGCGGATGGAGGTTTCGTGAGCCCTCAAAGTACCCCTTTTACCATTTAGCCAGCTTTGTCAGTTGCAATAACTTTCGCGTCAGTCCAACCAACAGATCGTAATGCTCTGCTCCGCTCTGCTCTGCTCTTTCCAGGCCACATTTCGTGTACGACGGTATAAAACAGAAGCGGCAAATAGAAAAGCCAAACGGCGGCTAAGTTGCTTTTGTCTGCCTGCGGAGGAGGACGACGAGGAGGAGGAGGAGGTGGAGGAGTCCTGGCAATTGGCCAAGTTAATAGAGAGCCGGGAGGCTCGATAATGACGTTGCTGCTGCCGGAGCTGTTGCCGCCCATGCTGATGATGAGGCTGCTAACTTGGTTATTGCTGCCAGCCTAGAGACACAGGACCAAACACCAGCAACCAGCATCCAGCATTTAGCTTTCAGCTTTCAGCTTCCAGCATCCCACATCCTCTGCCCAGACAGACAACAAAAACAAGATCTGCTGGGGCTGCAACGCGGGGGCTTACTGCATTTCCGCATCTTGTTCCTGTCGCCGCCCAGTCATTTCTACAGCCTGAGTCACCATGTCCATTGCCCACCCACTGCCGCTCTGCGTGGCCTGGCTGCTGCTCCTCGTCGTTATTGTGATGAGCGGTAAGTACCCATTCTGGCCAGCCATCTCCATAACCCATCTAGATCCTCAGGCGTTCCGCTTTCCACCATATTGTTGCCGCAGTTAATTGTTGGCATTTGTTTGGCGGCCCCTTAATTGTCCGCTCCAGCTGGGCATTTTTTTTTTTGTTTCAATTAACAATTAGTTTTGCCAACTGCTGCACAAAGTTATGCCGGGTAGATTTATTAAATGCTACAATATTGCGTATACGCCTGGCGGGCCTTGACCAAAACTCACAATGAAAAGTTTACTCTTGCATACATCACAACAAAAGTGGTCTAAATAAATGAACAAATGTGCACACTCACCAAAGAGGAAAAATCCAATAAACTGCAGAAAGTTTTGGAGAAACTTAAATCAGCTTTGACTTGGCTAGCCAAAGAAGTAGTTTAAGCTTTTCTTTTTGAAGAATCCCTAAGCTAGCTTTTGGTCTTAGCCCTTGCCCCTGGGAAAGTCTCAACAAGTTGTCTTGTCAACAATTAGTTTTTCTTGGGGTATTTTAAAATTGCAGCACCTATGGCTATAGCTAAAAGTTATCAATTGTCTAGGGACTTTCGCCAAATCGAATGTAACTGAGCTTCTGTCCAATGTGCCCTGAAGCCAGGCTTAAAATGCTGACCAAATATTATTCAAAAATATTTTTCCATAACTGCCAAAATTTTGTTGCTAAACATTTCAACAGCAAGCGGTCATATCAACGGGAAAATTCGACTAATTAAGTAAAAGGCACGTGCCTACAGCATTTGAAAATAGTTCTCATCGCAGGATTAACACAATTTAAACGTAAATGGATTCAATTTCAATTGGCAAAACCAAAAACTGATTTAATTAACAATTGTCAAATAGCAGTGAGAAGGCGAGCAGAAGCCCTTAATGCATTTGATTTATTTTTAAAGCATCGGGAATTTATTGCAGAAATGGCAACAAATAACTCCCGCGGAGAAGGGTCATTGGAACAATTCAAAAAATGCTCGAATTAATTGCGTTTTTGGTGCAGCGAGTGAAACGGGAAAACGGAAAAAACAAGTAAATCGACATAAAGTAAGCAACGGACGTGGACATATTTCAAAATTCAATTAAAAATAAAACAAAAAGGCGGCAACAGCGATAGCGACACTATGCAATTTCCGCTTAGGGCGTGGCACCAGTCAGGTGGGCGTAAAAATAATTAAAGTGCGACCAAATAAACATCGGACGTCGAGCCTTTGGTTATTTGGCCCAACAACCGAAAGGCCAACACCAACACCAACAAATGCCGGCAATTTTTTGTGCGATTTTGCACTGACTTCTGCATCCGACAGGCACAACATTTTCAATTGAATTACGCCAATATGTCGATAGAGTTTAAAAACAGCCAGCGATCATTTGGTGAAATTGCATTCTGAAATGGCAGAAATAACACAAGATGAATTAGCATCGCTTTCACTTCGTGCTTAGCTAATAGTGATCAATCCACCCGTCAATCAATCAATTTGCTCTTAGTGCATTTTCCTGTTCAACGGCGGTCAAATTAAAAAGGAAAACGGGAAAATGCCACCTGCCAATGGCCAGGATTTCATTACAGTGCTCACAAACAAATTATTTCCAGGCGCTTTGGTGCGCTTTCTAACAAAAAATTTCCCCATTTCCCCATTTCCCCATTTCCCCAATTTAAATATTGATTATGATTGATTTAGCGGAAAGGCCGCAACTAAATATTGTTTTTTGTTTGCCGCTGCCACACTTCAATTCAGTTAGCATTGCCCAATTGCAATTGCGATTGCAATTCGCTGCTATGTAAATTACACAAAGTAAAATTTACGAGTTGCTGCCACTTCATATGAGTAATTTTAATATGAATATTTTTAAGTCTCGTGTGCATAGAAATTGCATATTTGAGTAGAACTTTGGGCCAGTGTTTGGCCAACGCAAAATGAAATCAAATAAATAATTGCACAGCCCAAGGGATGGGTCTGGCCACTGGTCAAATATTTGCAGCAAACTTTCGGCTCTGGCCAAGTTATTGAACGTTGTTGCTGGCCTGGCCAGAAACTCAAACACACAGCGAAAAGCTGGCTAGCAGTGTACAACAAAAAAAGAAAAAAAGAAATAAAATTAAGGAGGAGCCAAGTGAAGTGGAGTGAAGCGGACTACCGCGCTGGGCCAACACTCCATGGCCAAAAAACTTGGCCACGTGCAACTGGCGCGCCACCCACGTACGTAATTGAGTATGAATGGGGAATGTGTCGAAAGCGTTTTGTGATGTTTGCCAAACAAAACGCTGCAGGTACAGCAGGCTCTATTCCTCCAGACACTGGCAAGCAAAGTAACTGGAAAATGAATTCGATACATTATCATGACGTCAAGTCGTGCGTGGTGGCGACTGGCGAAAGGTATAAATTACATCTAATGCTATCGACGGCAGCCGAGCAGGCCATTTCTTATGCGAAACACCTGCAGCGGCAAAAGGACCTGGTCGTAGACCCAAGTCACCCATAACCACCCACATTTAACCACCCTCATCGAAGAAAAGGAGGTCTGAGTCGGTGGTATCCTGGCAAATGTGCGCATAAATGAATTACCAATGAACCGCATGGTTCACGTTTTCAATTTGAAAGGCTGGGCGCTAATTTTCGGGGAGGAGTCGGTCGACGAAAGAGGCCAGCCTGGAACAAAGACTGCATAGCCATTTGACAGATGTGCTTCTCGGGTTTTGGCCCCAAGGATCTACAGTGCGGACTAGCTATTTAAAATGTCCTCATTTATAAATTATTAACATAAACTTATTTTTCTTCGCTGTAACGATTTTTAAAAATGGCATAAACTTTTAGTAATATTGAATGTAATACCATTGCTAATTTTTTGGGAATTTGTTCATTTAGATTATTTTATTCAAAAAGTTTAGTACACCTCTAGTTATTTTTCCCTAATTCGAATAAAACTGCACCTTCGAAGCTTTTACCCAATGAAGGTAATCGAATAAGTTCGTAAATTATAACCTTTCTCATTTAAGCCATTTTAAAATAGCTGAAAATCTACTTGAGTACCCATTTCCTTTCATTTGAGAGTGTTTTTCCGCAATAAAATTAAACCTGAAGCCAATTAAATTAAAGCTCACCCAAAACGCAATTTTAGTGTGAAGGAGAAGACCTTCTAGACAGAAGTAAATATTGATTCGCTTTTGAAGGCTCCACTGTAGAGCCAAGTGCGAGAGAGTTAGGAAGTGAAGATGTGTGTGCGTGAAAGGGAACAAATCGACAGCCTACATAAAATCGCAATTTGCGCAATTCGAACGTCAAGTTCCATTTGATTACAACACGTTGACGAGGACATACGCACTTCTGCAGGATTGGGTGGTGGATGTGCGTATACGTAATGTGTCTGCACCCGGTAAAAGCAATTTCAGCAAATCTGCAATTGTTATGTCCCCTGCTAAACAACTCACTTTGGAGGCAGGCGTTCTCGCACATCAAATATTTATATTGCATTGCTATTCCTGTACCTATTCCTCGATAAATATATATAGATATCTTCATCCAGCCTATGTTGCTCTCATTTCGGTTATTTCGGGTATTTCGGGTATTGATTAAGCGCCATCGGGGAGTTGGAACAATGGCCCGCCTCAATTACTGCAGCAGTTTATGTCCCCGTACGGACCCACATGTCTGTCTTGTTTTTTACTGCCTTTTTATGTATCCCCTGTATAGATTGTTAACGTCACGAAGGGGTGGCAACAAAAAAAGGAACACCGGAAAGCATAAATCATGCAAACGACTTGATGGCCTCTATTAGTCTGTTTATAGACCTAGTTAAAATGTTTATAGAGCAAACTTTACGGTGAGCAGCAATTAAACATAACGGGCGGGTCCTGTTGATCGCGTTTCGCAACCCACAACAAAAAGGCTGGGCCACATTAAACTATAAGGACTCAGTTTACAATGTTGCAACCGCTATGAGATATATAAAAATACATTAAAACCCAATCATTTGTATGAGTAAGCCGAAGAAATCTCTTAAAAAATATATAAAGAAATTTAATATTATTTTTACCATTTTTTTAAACTACAAATTACTTTGAATAAAGGAGAAAAATTAATGATACAGTTAAATATATTAAAGTTATATATCCTTTTTTAAGTTATTTAGCTTGTCAAACAGGTGTTATTCGCTTTTATATCCTCTGTAAAAAATCTTTTACTTTGCTACATTTATTTTTAAAAGAGCACAAGGCGAGATAAAAACAAAGGCTCTCCAAGTTGCTGCAAACCAAAAGGCATATCCTCCTGAGGAAACAAACAGAAAAGCATTTAAAATACAATCAATTTGCTCAATAAGAGCATTGATAGCTGCTCGTATTTCCCCCAGTGTAAACTTGATGAGCAGTGATTACACATACTCACATTTCTCGGCTACGTGAGGAAAACACGGGGCAAACAAGTAGGGATTCGTGGGATCCTTTGGCTTCGGCTGCTGTCAGGACTCCCAGGAGTGCACTTTATGCGCCACTTGTGCGGAATCCTCCGCAAGAATCCTGCGAAGGCGCAGCGGCAACAATTGAGAATTTATTCATTGAATTTTTCTCCCACCCTTTTTGCAGGTTTTTACAACCTCTCATTTGGACCTATTAAACGAGAAATTTCCGTGGCAATACAAACAATTTCCGCAACTAAAAACACCCCATGATGTGGCTCACTGAGTCACGGTCTATTTATGGCTCCGTACCTGGCCATTTATTGATGAATTTCATTTTATTTAATTTCATTTGATGCCCAGGCGGGCAGCTCTTCAAATTGCTTTATTTCCAGCGAGCTGGCCAGCTGAAACACAATTCCCAACTTTGTTGTTGTTTACTTTCAATTCTACCGCCACGCCCACCTTGGACAGAACGCCCAGGCCGCATGCACATCCACATCCACATCCGCATCCACCTCCTACTCCACATTCACAGCACCTGAAACGTTGCTGGCATCTAAAGTGGCTGCGATTAGTTTGCTAATGTTGT